GCATTGAAAAATAATTTTGATAACATTATTCTTGGATATGATATTATAGTTTACATTGTAAAAGCTTGAATATAGAATAAACATTGTCCTTCACTATTACCTTCAACTAATTGACAGAAAAGCTTAATTAAATTTTAGAATCAATTGCATTCCTCGAAAAAATCTCAAGAAAACCACTTCTCTTTTAGTGGCTGACATGCCCGATCTTACGAAAAGCTCCCGGATCATTTTTTCCTCCAAACAAGGTTCGAATCCTCATAAAAAGTAAAAGTAGCCCTGGTAACATTGTTTTCTTCGACTCCTAGAGAGAACCGAAAAAAAGAAGCAAAATAAAGCCTTTAAAAAGTAAAACCATAGTTTCACCTTCTTGTGTCCGCGTATATTGTGAAACAGTAGAATTTCATACGGAAGCACGAGAGATCGCGAGTAAGCATGCCAATGACCCGACCGAATGAACTGACGCACGTGGCGAGTTTTGCAAGAGCAATATATATAAGGATCACTGACCGACATCGTGAATGAATGGTCCAAGTAAAGTTTCACCGAATAGCTTCGTGCGTCAATAGTATAGAATTCGAAAAACGTGAATATATTACGAGTTCCAGCAATATCTTTTACTTACATTACTTATCTGATTTTTTATGTACTTAATGATATTTTTAACTGTACTAATTATTTTTTACTTTTATATTTTTATGTTTTATCGTCTATTGATTTATATATACTAAGATATTACGACCACAAAACAGTTATTGTCAGGCGATAAATCGAAATGCATTTAGATTTTTTATTGCAATCTTATCCAGCTGATATGATGATTAGTCCGAAAATTTTTTTGTAAAAACTGTCGAAAAAAACTTGATTTCATTTAAAAAAGAGTAATAAGGATTACTTAGCTTTTCGTGCAATTGGAACTGAATTGGTCCAAATTCTATTGAAAAAAATCATGCGATTAAAATTTTTTATATCAGTTTTATTAAATGTATTATTTTTATCGAGACACCAAATGGTATATAAAAATTAATTTCTTGGGAATAATTGCAAATTTCAAATTCATCATCATTAATTTTACGATAGAGTTTTGGATAGTTCTTGTTTTAATTTATTTGAGATGGAACTTCATTTAGACAATATCCAAGCATCGTTAACAGAAATAAATGAAGTGAAAACTAACTAAATTAATATGAAATAATTTGCAAATATACATGTAACTCCGAATTTACCATCCACAGCATGACTATGCTTATGAAATTCTTTTAGATGATATAATCAGGTGTTAAAACACACCATGCGGTGAAACGATGTTAACGTGATATTTTCAATTCGTGTCATGATCTTTTTTATGCTTCTGTTTACGCGACGTCGCGCGTTTAACGCTCTATTTGTTGCCGACGTTAAGTAGTACAAATACTCAAGAAAGAATTCGGTGATTCTATATAATCAATATGAAAAAGTACAAACTGTAATAAATAATCAATATTCTATCAGTAAAAATCTAAGAAAAATATTGAAATCGAACATAATAAATGTGATATATTTAACGGCTTAGTTCAGGAAGACATTCATCAAAAGTAAATGGAAGAATTGTAAATGTGGTCTTTAAGCGAAGACTGATTAAAGGTATTCATTATCAACTAATTCCACGAACAATTAAATTTGTCATTTCCTCAACTAAAACTATTTTTGTATATTATAAGCTGTCGCTCTATAATACAATCAAAATTGAAACATCTGTATCCAATTTCAGAGGCAGCAATAAATAATCCTTTAATGGTAACCCACCATTCGAAGGAAAAGAATAAAGATTGACCTAAAAATAAAAAATAAGGTTTCCAAATAAGCGTAAGCATACCGTCCAGCCTGTTGATTTGAAATTCAAATTGTCGTCGAATACATCGTAATATACAAGGAATGTAACGGAGTTTGCTCGACGATGGGGGAAAAAGGCGATGATCGATAGACAACTCGACTACTGTGTCACACCTTGAATTATTAGTAGATGATAAAAAATATCGACTTTCAATCAACGGTTCAATCTGCTAATGAGCAGTTTTCAGAATATTCTAACGTGGAATTTATTGATAACAATGTTTCTGCACAACGGTATTCTCTTCCTCTTTCATTTTTAAAATTAAATCCGTCATTTGATCCGTAAACATAAATTATCAGATTTACGGTACCACTACGATTAAAACTCCAGTGCTGATAAAACGTCGCGTTTTTGAACAAGATCGTAAGATGACTGGATTTTCATCGAGGAAATCTGTAAGATCATTAAAATTCTTCAATTTTTTTATAGTTTCGATTTGAGCTGTCATTGCATGGAATTCAAAGAGTTTCTTATCATAAATATTTTTATTTTCAAATATTCATTTACAATTTTCAATAGAACTGAAAAATTGAAAATGGAAACAATTGTTTCATGTCGATACAGTGCTATTAATTCATTCGTTATTTTTACAAAAACGACTTCGATAATCATTTTTAAAACAAAGATTGAAAACCAATTTTGATAGGTAAATTTATCTTGGTATGATATTAAATACTCTGTGCTATAGTCAAATAAGAAGAGTGAGCAATAAAGAATTGAGTCTATTCAAAATCAAAGAGAGAAAGAGAGAGAGAATGTTGATTTCCGCTATATGGTCAAAGTATCAAAAGATAATTTGTCCCCAAGGGACCAATAAGCGTGGGCAGATTGGAAGAAGGCGTGCACGCCCACGTATGTAGAGAGACACAGGAGGTCCGCATGCGCGGAAGCGCCGCCGTCGTCTGCGCGCGAGCCAACGAGCCTCTCCGCATTTTATGGTATTCCAAACATAAAAAAGAAAGCGCCGCACATGAGAATGTAGGTCAGTAGGTCTCGGTCTTTCTCCGACAGTATTCTCCCCACGTTTCTCTCGTCCCCTCTCCCTCCATCACGCTAAGGTGAACGCTCTTTCTAGGTGGAACCACAGGTGCAAGGAGTGGGGGAAAACCGCAGGAGACGCCGGTCTCGCCAGTGTGTTTTCGTGCGCCAGCTCTTGCCGGAGACGCACGTGTTCACAGTGTGTTGCTCCCGCGAGGTAGCATCGGCTGATGATTGTATGTTTGTAGCAAGAGAAATAAGACGGTTGTAATTATTTTTTGACTGTATTATTACATTATCTTTAAAATAATTAACGAATTTTTAATTTGCATTCAATAAATTTCTCAGTGTGATTATTAAAATATCAATAATTTTGTATTAATTTACTGTTACACTTGATTACTTAAATTTTATTTTCATTTTTTCTACACAAAGGTTTTCTCGCATATGCAAATTAGTTTTCCATGCTGATATGGCGGCTCAATACTGAACGTGTTATAGGGACATAAAAAAGTAATTGATGAAACTTTTTTACCAATCAACTATTTTTTATTTTAATAAAAATTTTTCATTCTTCTGTGATATCAACTAAATATTGTAGTAACGTTAGTTAAATAATTAGAATAATTATTTCAAATAAACAAATCTCTAAAAATTAAAGACAAATATTTACGATAGTTGAGTAAGTATGATGAATCTTAATCCATTTTATATAATTTTGAACTAAATAGAGCGTTGGATAATGTACACACAAAATTTATTTATTATTAAATAAAAATTTCATCGTAAATACTCATACATATACTTTTAAAAAATCAGAAATTATATGTAATAGATAGCGTTCTGATACCGTGATGAATATATAAAGAATAATTTACAACGTAATATAGAAAAGATAGAAATATAAATATTTTTAAAGATATTTCGAATATTGATAGATCGAATAATCTCCAATAAATGGTCATTATCGTATCTTGCATTTATCACGTAATTTAACATTGAACCATTTCCGTACAAAAAATATGAAGTTCAATGACTTCATACATTTAACATGATAAAGTTTTTGTAAGAAAATGCATGCGCATAAAATTTAAAGTTGGATTATGAAGAACGTGTGGTTACTTGATCATTCAGATAAAAAAATGCGTGTTTGCATCAAATCGTCTGGCACACTTTCTTCTGTCGAGCGATTCGTTCCTCTTTCACGCCTTCGGATCCGGCGTGGTAACCGATTCGCTTAGATATTTACGGTCAACGTGCCCGCTATCTTTCTCAAATAATCTTTAGAAATTATAAGCATTCTAACTTGTATCAAAAATCAAAATGTGACCTGCAATTATTAAAATCTTACGTACGCCTTTGTCTATAAGTATAAAATAATGTATACGTATAAAATTACATTATTTTGATAATATTGATGAGAACATCGCAAATTTTAAGAATAAATGAAAAATCAATTCTTGAGCAATAATTCACTTTCATTACAAAAAAATAACATAACATGAAAAAATAAAGAAATAAATAAAATAAATATTTAAAACAGCATAAATTATTATATTTTTACAATATTTGTGAAGGTACTCTACTCTTGAAAGAGACAACCAATAAAAACGTGTAAAAAGTCAGTCATATTCGAGTAACAGCGTAAATATGTCTCGCTTACAGTCGGTCAAACAGCCAAAATAAATATGTGAGCAAACTCAAAGAAAAAAAAGGAATTTCACTTTGTAAACTCTTTTCGTTTTCATTGCGCAAAAGTGTCTCACTTTCCATTTTTGTCTTGTACTTATGTCTGCGGTACTGTCACTGTCACTGTCGCCACAAAATTCTTTTATCACTATCACTTTCTTCGCGATTATTTATTCCGCCTGTTGATCAATGTCCGTGTACGTACGTGATATCTGGATGTCTAAATTGACATATGTATAGTCACTATCTAACGTTTCTGAGCGTCTTTGAAATTCATTAAAACAGTCGGTGTCAACTAATGTCAGTCACGTTTATTCGAGTATTGATGTTCAGGATACGTTTTCAAAATCTATTATCTATTTTCGAAAGAATATTCCATAGAATAATAGTTGCAAAAAGATAAATAATTTTTTACTTATTATGGAGATTGAAGTCAATAAAATTATAGAATTAATTTATACTCTCATTGAGTTATTTTAGTAGTATCAGTCGGCAAAATCACGTAACCACGATATGGATAATTTTTATCATTTTCTAAGCTCCTTCGTCGGCGATGGTGGCCATGAACTTCTTGAGCGTAAACTACGTGATGACTTTCTTCATCCTTACCGCCAGACATTTTCTTAGCTGCTACAATCAAAGACAGCATCAGTGCAAGAGCTGATATCATGAGAGCTTTCATTGCTAACAGACCGAGTGCTCCAAAACCCATGGCAGCCATCATTTTACCTTTTCCATATAGTTATCACTGAATTACGTGTGATATACGTAGATTTAATACGTAAATTATTAATCAAAGTATCTTACCCATCATTAATGCCACGAGCATTGCCCCGCCATCTCCTTTGCCTCCGAGTCCACCACCGAAACCGCCACCGCTTTTACGACCTATTTTTAAGAACAGGGATATACTGCAGTTGGTACATAAGTTAATTAAACTGATCATAAAATTAAATGTCGTAAAATACCTTCATCATTAGATGGCAGACTTTGCTCAATCACGCTTACCAAGTTAACTGGTAACAAAGTGGGTAAATTAATTCTGAGTTCTCTGCCTTCCAGCCACTTAACTATAGTCCCCATAAATCCATAATCCTTTGAAAATCTGGCATCTCTTGATGATTGTCTTCCATCTCCGACTTCCACAAGAGTAATTCCATGAATAAACTCCATATTCTTCTTTTTCCTTGCATCTTCCAACAATTTCTGCACAATTTTTCGAACTAATCTGATCCCATGACACGAAACTGATGCATTGCTAACAACTTGTCCTGACTCATCTTTGATACAACTCACAGAAAATCCTTTCCAGATTGTTTCGTAATTGCTTTCAGCACCAACTCGTCCTAGGACAAGTAAGCTGAGGATCGGAACAAACGATCTCATGATCAACGCGGCATCTACAATGGGGACTGACGATGCTGGACAACTGGTTTTATATTTCAAGTTGGACGATGCAAAAACATCTGCTTAAAAGATGCAAAAACATCTGATTCATGAATTTTTCGTCGCCACGGACCCTAAGTGGTTTACAGAGCGTTACGGCTAAGCTGTTGAAAGGCGACCGTACACCTTTTTACATCCTAGATACCTACATAAGACTTTGTTTTTCACTATCATTGCCAATTGCTTTTGTGAATATAAGCTTGATCGAACCTTGAGTTTATGGTTGGTTTTACATGCTATGTATTTTTTGACTTCCTCCAAACTAATAAAAACACGCAGCTATTAATTTTCCAAAATTCGCAGCTTTTCGCGAACAGAATTCAGACTTTATTCTTATTTTTTTTTCGCAATTATTTTAATTTTCTTGTAATAAATTTATGTCAATTGTGAAAATATAAGAAATCAAGCTTTTATTTTCTTTTTTCATAAGAATATTTATTTACATGTATCCTAATTGTACAACTGTAATGTATGATGAAATCTTGATACTCTATTTAAAATAACAAAAGTAATTTCTGAACAAGAATTATTACCAACAAATCTTCAAATTGTACAATTGAAAGTGTTTCATGTATTATCAAATAAATACCCGCATTCGTTTTTAATTGTTCTTTGAACTACATTCCTATTTTACGAGTGAGTTTTTTTTTCAATATAAATTTTTCGCGCCTTTCACTTTTATAATCTTGGATGTATATCAGAGTAACCCATTTAAAGATTGCCCGGTAGCCATTAATGATTGAAAGTTATTCAAATAATTAAATTCGTTTTATTTAGTTTCCTTTACAATACACTTTATATAAATAATATATTTTTGTATTTTCTATCGATTTATGCAAATTCGAACATTTTATCACGAGACAACATTTGTTTCAAGATAGTACTTGAAGTTGAAGTCTTAATTACGTAGTTGTTGAGTTCTCTAAACATACATTGAACGAGATGACAATGCACATTTCCTAAAAAAATTAAGAAAATAGATTTTAACTCGTAACTATTAGAAATTATAAGTTTATATTCGTTTGTTTATATAGTTTATATAGGTCATATTGTCATAATAAGTTTTTATTTTACCATCATGACAAGCATCGAGAATAGAAAAAAATATTTCTTTTTCCACTTGATGGTCAGAATCAAAATATTCGTCTGCTTTTTCGGTATTTATCGTACCATCTGGTTTCATCTGAAAACAAAATTTTGATTCTCATGTTTTGTAAGAAAAAAACAATGTTTTCAATAAGTGGATATTTCAATGATATTTACAAGTCCATCGTCTCTGTAAATACATGCAGCTACGCAATACATTTCCAATTCTGTGAGTGGCGAAATGCCTTCTTGACTATTGTAATTGATATCTTAATGAAAATTTATTAAATTTGAATAAAAGTTTAATATATGAAAATCATTATGCTGATCTAGCTTGAGTATCGAAGTAATGTAATTTAAGCATTTTTCTTACCTGGTTCAATTCCATATTCGATTAGGCATTCATTTTTAATCCGTGGATAGGGTGGATCCCTTTTTATTTGTTCCTAATGACAATAAAATAGATTTATCATATAGTTCTAATTCAGATTTAACGACTGTATGGATTTACCGATAAAATCCCATGAATCCACGGTAAGAATATTAAAAAAAACTTCATTATAAAGTATAACGTGAATTAACTAAAATAAATTTTTGTACCAATGATGAACTACAGGTTGTGTAACGTATTTATACTACGAACTTTATCAATAACTGTGTACAAGTACCCGCGTATTCTGCACTCAAATTCAGATAAAAGTTGAATTTCCTTTTTAATTTATTGATAAGAAACATTGGTTATAGATATTTGTCACATTGATCTAATAACGTACCTTCCCCGTGATCAATAAGGAAGTTCTTATGAATATTCTGTATTATAAATAAACTTATTATTTTTCATGATTTCAAAATACTCGATTCACCTGCTTAAAACAAATCTGCACACATTTCAAAACATGTGAGAGCGCGTCACGCATTACATGAAAAGAACGTCGGTGAGACAGAGAGAGAGAGAGAGAGAGAGAGAGAGAGAGAGAGAGAGAGAGAGAGAGGGAAGTACGCGAAGACGAGGACGGGTGAAAGAGAGAAGAGAGTGCTGGCGCGAGCAATCTAGTTCATCTCCGTATATATGCCTTTCTCTTCTGTGCTACTTTTTAGCGAGTCTCAAGCTATACGATCTTATACGTACAGGCCCGGAGAGGATATAACCCGAGTCTTCTATGTCCGTAACACTTGACTTATGCTTACGAAGGGGGTTCCATCGCGTCGCGATGATCACTTATCATCCATGATCACATATGCACCATGATAATTACTTGTCTTAATGTTATATCAATTATGCATTTATTTTTTCATATATAGAGTTATTTCATTTTATAAACTTTTGTACTTTTTTAATGCGTATGACAATACTTTGCTAACAATGCAATAATTTGATTTTGTAAATCACAATTTCATATTATCGTCTCTTATAATCATGTTTTTTTATAAATGTATTATAAGATTTGAAATAATAACAACTCAAATTTTGAAAAATATTAGACCAGTTCATAAATAAAATATTACAGTTGATGTTTGAAATCAGTAAATTCATTAAGCAAATGACTCTTCAACAATGGAACACAATCAATTTCAAAAGAAAGTGTTCTGCTGTCTACCTAAATTTAACGAACAATGTAAGTGCTGGTACCCCAGAAACAAATCGTATCTCGTTTACATTGCAAATAGTTCTGACCTTGAACTGTCAATTTTGGCAAACACTTCGATCTGCTCTATTTGGTATAGTATAAGTTTGTACTTCGTGAGAAATCGAAAGTACATAGCTTTATTTCTCTCTCTCTCTCTCTCTCTCTCTCTCTGTCTTTCGACCATCCTTTCCTTACATAGTACCTATACAGCGATATACATATATATACTCTACTATACATATCGGCGGTGGCCATCTATGGCCCGTTTCTCTTTCTCTCGACTGTCCCACGATCAAGTCTTTTCTTTCGGCCCCACCGCGACACTGGGGGAGGTGAAAGCGTTCGAAATGAGGACGATCGGCTGGACCGTCTGTAGCCACGTGTGGTATCACGGATGTACTTCATTTTGTGAATCAGCTGGTCAGAGATATTTTAATTATTTAATTATTGAACTAAGACGAATTAAAATTGAAGTATTGACAGTTGACGACAAATTGAGTTTCCATCTGACTATACTCGACTGATACTACTGACATATGTTTTTGTATTATGATTGTATAAAAAGTTTTTGACGATTTGTATCTTTTTCTATTGCAGCAAAAAAAGGAAATATATTTAAAAAATCAATATAAATTATACCTCAAATATATATTTTTAACGAGTTATAAGTTATATTATACTAACATTTTGCGAATAAATGTTTTTATAAAATGTCTTAAAAAGCACCACTTTCAAAGTTTCTAGTATGTGTTATTGAAAACTAATTTTGATTTGTGTAGTACGTCAATAATGAAAAAAATATTTTTATCGCTTTAAAAATATAGAAATGTTATAAAATAGATTTTTGGTAAACAATATTCATATTTATATACAAAAAATGCGATTCGAAAAAATATGATGATGCTAATAAGATTATATGGATACTGACAAATAGTTGAAACAATTAATAGCCATGTCGATAAACAAAAATCACTTGTCACTTTTCAGAATGTAAGCTTGTATCGAGTGTTTAAATCAGTCATTTTGTTTTCTTAGAAAAAAAAACTCATTTGACTTTAAATATTCCCTACTTCGTGGGACGGAGAAAGTCTATTTTTTATTACCTAGAATATAAAAAAATTATGTATTCTTGTACAATTTTAAATATGAGTTCAGAAATGTTGAGTAATTTTTATTACCGCAAATTGATCGACAAATCAGTATAAATTTAGAAAATTCAAATAAAAATTCAGTCTATTGCACATATGTTGATATTTTTATAATTTTTAAATGTTTGATCTAGCTGACATAGTTTTTTGTGATATATTATACGGTGATGAAGATGAGAATTGCATAAATAGCGTCTCATTGATGTATTTTTTATCTAATTATCCCTGAATTACATTAGCATTATTTTCTTTATTTATAAAATTAAATTCACAAAAATAAGAGCCTTTATATCATTAATTTACTGATCGTAAATATACAACGGACTTTATTTTAGTTCACGCTTACAGGCATTTTTAAATAGTATTATATTCATCGGATATAAATCTCCAAGCAACGTGATCATTGAACTTGATCTACCTTGAACTTGATATTGTAACGATTTTAGGCGGCCACTTTTACTTAGTCGAGCGAGTGAAAGGCAGTTTGGCCGTGGCCGTCACGCATGCTCACCTTGTCGATTTTCTCCGCGCTTCCGTGAGTCGCCACTTGCTAGCTTAGCACCTTATCCACAAGTGAGCGGTAGTCCGGTAAATTTGACGCCAATGTCAATTTTTGCGATGGTTCGTCGATATTTTTATTTACTGTTTGGAATAGAAATTTATTGATTTAATAAGTTACACTTTGATGGGTAACAAATTTACTTGAGGATTCAAATGGTAGGTCAATAGCCGCACCTTAGGTAGTGCTATAAATGTTACCGGGAATCTGCATTGCCGATTCTCGATTTTTCTTCATCATCGTTGAAAATTGTTAACTAATAAATATTTGTTAATAAATTTAATGTGTCTATAATTAATGATTTTTAATCATGAAAATATTAAAGCTTTGGAAAACATTTGCTTAACAATTAGAATATTGACTCAGTCGATAAGACAATTCAAAACGTTAATACATTTATTGTAAATAATATATTGTCAATCCCTTAAAAATGTTTTATTTGAATATTTTAACTGTACTCAAAGTTTTTAACTTTGAAATATTTTTCAAATTATTCGAATTGAATGATAAATTTATAGTTCATCTAGAAACTAAGATGAGATTACCTGCGTATACATCTGGATCTTGCAAGTAACTGTGCAAATCAATCTTCGGGGCATGCAATTTGCTTTCATCAATAGATGCTCCAATCAGTTTTTCACTATTAGTCTGCACTCCTACATCCGAGTCATCATCCGTCCAATAACACTTATATCTTCCACGTGTACCAGCAGTTGCACTTGCCGCATACTTTGTTTTTAAAACATGCCTCTTGTCGGTGGCCTTTGTTCTTCTGTTGAATTTCGCCCGATACAATCCGGTAGCGGTTGGCTCAAATCCACTGAGTACTTTTGTTGAACTTGGTGTCTTTGCAAACTCTTGTGTATCCGTAATATAGTGATACCGATAACTTGGTTGTACAATTTGAATCGGTTGATTAGCAAGTTCAGCAAAAACTTCGAGTTCCGGATGTCGTTTGTTGTCTTCCTCAGCCCAGAGACCAAATTTACTTAGGAAATTCTTAAGTCCAAAGAGCGTTGAGATTAGCAAGTTGAGGTTTGTAGACAGAAAGTTCATTGCACTGAGCAGGGCGATTTTTGTCAGTACAATGGGCAGCAGAGCGAGAAATTTGAGACCTAGTGCTGCAAGCACCGGAACCAACACTAGCTTGCCAAAAAGGAACGTGCCTGAGTGAGAACAAATTCCGAATGCAACTCAGCTGTGCATTATTTTATATTTGATTATTCATTAATTAACGTATATTTAGTGCAATAATCTAATTAAAAATTTGAAAATCTACAGAGTGTGAATAAAATCTATTTTTAATAGAACAGAATAACAAAATTGAATTACTGAACTCAAGTCATCGGTAACTTTCTACTTGTAGTCAATAATAATTTGATAATCGCTATTGTTATATATTTTCTAATACTTAATTGTGTATAATTAATTTTCTTACATTATTAATAATTTATCGATTCAAATCAGAATTACGACAAAATAATTACATAATACAACATTTATTTGCACCATAGGTGCAGTAAATATATATATTGAAGTCATTCAAATATTGGAAAATTGCTGCATGTACGTAAGTTATCGAAAAAAATTGCGAAAACCAAAAAAACCTTAAGTTACTTACGTTCTTTCACCATATCATTATAATGACCAGATCGCTTCATATCAAACTGTTCAGCTGCACAACTCCTTACGTATAACAATATTAAAAAAATACACAAATAATACATGAAACCCGGCTGAACCTTTGCAGCCAAGGTCTCATGATTTACTACAACTTTTTGTGTGGACATCGGCGAACCAACAGCAGTACGTAAACAGATGCAGGATAGTTGTTGCTTCTTATATATGTAACTAATTAGGGTCTGCAGGTGATAAGTTACCGTGACAAATGAATTTAAATGCCATCTGTCGCTTAAATCAACTTACTGTACTGTAATTACTCACGCTATTTGGTCGTTCGTAATGAGCTCGACTTTGTAAATTGGAAGTGTTCTGGTAATAACTATGAGTAATTAATTATTATGCTATAAAAATTAACAGAATAGCATAGTAATTGCATAAATACAGTTTTTAACACTTTGGTGAATGTTAATCCATTAGACGTCTACTGTATTGAATTAGTTTTAATAACAAATAGTTGATATGCATTTCAAAAAATTTGCAATACCGATTGGCAATACATGAGCTATAACTGTTCCTTTAACCGATAATTAATTGCCAAACGTGAGCGCCAATAAATATCGCGAAAGTGTTTACAGGAAGCTATTTGTATTTGTCGATCAATGTAGAATCCACTTAATTTCCATTCAACCGAACAGAGATAAGATCGAACGTATTAAACTTGACCAACTTCTACAGTTTTTAAAATTTGAAAATGACCAGTCAGCTTGTAAAACGAAGGCAAAACTACATGTACTGCCTGTATAAGTTACGTCTGATCGCTTGATTGCCAAGTGAAACTAGTTATTATTCTGTATCTCAGCGTAACAACGAACAAAAAATTCGGAAATCTGGGCTACGTCCCGCGCGGACTGTTAGATTAATTAGACTTCACGGTGAAACTACGTATAAATAACCCGATACTCGTGAAACGAAAGCTCGCGCGATTTCTTATTTTTTTCTGCCAGACGTGGGAGAAGTAAAAAATATAAAGGCAAATCCGTCCAACTATGGAATTACTCCAGTTATCTACTTTTCCTTGCAGCCGGAAAAACGCGAACTTGCGTGTCATAACACTTGCTTGCATACCCGCTGAGAGCTCCAGTTTTGCGTTATTCAATTCATTCATTTTCTTCTTTTTTCCGTAGTCGTTCAAGTTCAAGGTGACAAGGTGAAACAAATTAAATACATGCTTCTTCTTTTTTTACAAAACAATAAATATTTTATTCTCACGTTAGACAACAGTAACACGTTATGATACAATCGTTCGCTCTCGTCGAGAGTTATAAATAATTTAAATCATTACAAAATAATTAAATAGCATGAACAGAGATAGAGACGGAAAAATGAATGAATGAAAACGAATAAGATTGCGAATATAGCGGAAAAAAGGGTAATGATGAGAAGAAAAAATGAGGAGATCGTTTAGGTGAAAGAATTGTTAGGAAGGTAAACAACATATAGTGAATGAAACGCGTTATTAAAATTGTCCTACAGTCCATATAAAAGTTCAATGGTAAAGTCATTTGGTGTCAGTCTTAGCTCAGTCCTATCGAAAACCTTTTCCCGACAAAGAAGAGGATAGATAACATCAGAGAAAAATCAAAATTATCGATTGACCAGACCAGTTCTCTCGTGTATCTTTGTTTTTTCTCATGGTATTTTCCTCGTCTTGATTTGCGCTGTTGCTTATGGTTTTTTTGATTGTTTGCCGTACGAAAGTGGGTCGCGAGTGCGTGCGCCATTGGTATGTACGTTCTGTTTTAAGACGATCAGTGCGTATTTGTAAGTAAGTATGTGCATGTACGTTTGTCGGTCAGGCGTCGATAAATTAAAGACAGAGAAAGACGGTAGTTGTTCTCTCTTTCAGTCATAAAAAAAGGAGTAAAAAAAGGAAAGGGGACTATATGTACATGTGCACGCACGTACGTACATGGGCATTGGAAAACTGCGTTGGCCTACATACCGAACGCTTGTTTTTCCGGTTGCCCCAGAAGAAGACAACTATAAAGGTAATATTTGTACCATCACGTGTGCGTCGAGTCGTCGATCAAAATTGTATCTGTTTTGTACAGCAGTCGGTTATTTGTCTACACGTTTTTGTCATCGTCATCGTCGTTGTATATTCTGTCGAGCGGTCAACGGTCAATTGTCGATATATAGTTCGTCCAATGATGATGATAATGATAATAATAACGATGATGACGATGAAGTTTTTATCGATATAAAAAGTAGGAGATACTTCTTAAGCCTAGCGTGTGGAGGAAAACGGCAAGAGATGCTCAGATTTTTCGGGAAAGAGGGAATCGTCGAGGCAATGGTCCTTTGTCCCATGGGAATTGACGCACATTGTCGTTGCTAATTTCTTTCCACACAACAGCAACCCCTTCGATATGATGAAAGCATGCTTACTGATAAGAAAAGAAATCGTTTGCTTGCTTCTGCGCGGGAGACAAAAGAAAAATGAAAACTTCCTGCAATGGCGAATGAGGTCGAGTCCAGAATGCGTGCCAATTGAACAACCAGTCTAAACGCGTATGCGTGTGTGCGTGCGTCTTAATTGGTCCGGAATATCCGCATGACGAATAAACTGACCTTATTTCGGTGAATGAATTACCCAATTGGGATGAAAATCTCAACAAGCAACACATCCCCATCGTCATCCCCGATTTCCCGAAATTGTTGTCTGCCGCAGTCTCAAACTTGCGAGACTTTAACGAGCAAATGCTCTCACTGCGGCGCATGAGCTGAGTAAGCCATATGTTGAGCTTGTTCAGTTTGACGCTCTTGGAAGCTCCTGGCCCAACCACCCGAATAGTCATGTCCTCCGTGGCTTTCGATGTGACTTGAAGTGTGATGGGGATGTGCTACTACCTCGTAAGTTACGTGTTTCTGTCCTGAGAACAATTTCTTCAGACCGATTATTCCAGCTAATAGGAGTGCGATCTTTGACAGAAGAAGGGCTTTGCCGACGAGTAAAGCTAATCCCTTGAACGCCAATCCACCAATCAGACCAATTTTTAATACGGCAGCGGCGAGAAGAGGTCCCATGTTGTTCTTCTTGCCACGTCCTGAAAATTTAAATTTTACCGCTTAGCAAATTCTACAATCCCATCAGTACAAGATTTTCCAAATGAAAGAATTAAAAGTTTTATCTGTTAACTATCCAACTTGGAACCAACGACGTATAATGAGCATTATATGTGCGATATATGTATGTAAATGCACGAAAATAAAAGGCCTAAAGTAATAAAGTATGAACATTCCTGTTTACATTTTGTTTACAACTTGTGTCGCGGTATATAATTATTACGGTGTTTTTCCAAGCATACATGAGCAGGATGTGCAAGTAGGAAGCTTTGAGAGAGAGAGAGAGAGAGAGAGGGTGGGGGGAGAAAAGAAAAAGGTGTTGCAACGAGATTTTATCAACGGCGCGCCCTGAATCTTTCAGGTCTAACGGAACGTGGACGTTAATTATTCACCGGGTGAGCTCTTAAACATAAAAATTCTCCGTATCTTTTGGGTGAAAGGAATTCCACTTCTCCTCCCCCCACCTCTTTCTCTCTCTGTTGGACCAAGGAAACAAAGCACATTGTTACAACCTGTCACGAAAGTAGAGCAACACTTTCTTTCTCAGTTCGCGCAGTGATATCGGATTCAAAGATCAAGTTCAAGGTCGTCCTAGTTTTTACAATTTGTTGTGTATTTTAAAGAGACAAATTAATGACTTCAAGATGCTAATAATTACATTGAAAATAAACATATCCAACCCTTACCCTTACAAGTACAAAACAATTTTAAGGGATTACACGGTATTTTTTTCAGAGAAGTAGTTATGTTATTGTTGCATATTATAGGGTGAGAGATGCAAATGTATATGCAAGTATGCACTAATAAACCGTTAATTTACAAGATAATCAGGGCACGCCGTCACCGTATTACGGAACCTGTTTTGAGTCGAGTCACACGCAGCATCCAGCATAAAAACACTGTGTCGTCGTTAAGTTAAATTCATGGATACTTGCGTACGAATTATTTCGACTACGATGTTTCTGGGTCCAAAAAATTATTTTTTTAAATTTTAGGTCAGATTTTGTTTCGTATGACTTTTCTCGAACGAAGTAGGATATACGATGGCTTACTTAACACGCGGAACGAAGAAATGTGTATTTTCCGTTCAGTGACTTCCAAAAGCAATGCGTATCTATTATCATGAAGAAAAAAGATAACGTATTTGCGAATCTTTCTTTTGACGTAACGTATATCTCGTTCGTTTCAATTATCTTTATACAAAACTTGAGTCCAAATATGTGCTCATCTAATTATTACCTTTGTATGACAGTGTTTGTTGTATGTCAGAGATAAGAAAGAAATGAGGATAATTACCATCTTGAACGGCATTTTCAGAACGTTCGATGGAAAGACCAAGGTTGAGAGAACCATTCTCGTCTTCTTTGGCAGATACAACGACATCGTCCTCAGGGAGAAATCTCCATTTGATACTTCGCGACTTGACAAAAGCATATACTTTGCTAGCAATAAGATCGAATACATCAGATTCGTCATCGTGTCCGCTACGTCCAGAGGATTGGAAGCTCACAATCTCTTCCGTGGCTTGTGATGTTTTGCGAATTTCAATGTCATCGGTTAACTCAAAGGATGCTTTCTTCAAGAGTTTGTTCATGTAGGTGACAAGCTTGAGCATAACACAGCTGCTGAGGTCATTTTGCGAGCACTTAACGTTCAGCTTGCGAAGTAATTCTTCTTCGTATTTGGCTCTGTCGGTCAGCGTTGTCGTCGTCTGTTGCTCGACTACGCTGATCTTCTCCACTGGGCTAGCTAACGCGACACCAACTAGGCATGTTGCGATCAGTATGACAATGGCCTTCATCTTTCTACGCTATCAACAAAAAATTTCTTTTATTTGTAAATTTTTACGTTAAGCCTGCGATGAAAATGATTAATTATATACATTTTATACATTTCTTTTGACGGAACAAATAATTTTAGAAAAAATATTTATTTTGATTTAGAAGCATATTCAAGCTCTTCATTATGTTTCACGTCTAATCTTTGACAAAACTTTTAAAAATTCAATATTTGATTGACCTCGATAACTAGATCTATTAGAGATACCTGCCCTACAAAACAAAGATTATCTGTTTTCGTACTTATGCTAACGGTCTCACACGATCGCTTATCCTCGTAATATGCTCGTGTTACGCACTACAAATTCCATGACCCAGAATATAAAATACACCAGGAATACTTATTTATTGAAGAAAATTACTCTATAAAAATCTTTTCAAGTGTTTTAATCATCAATAAATAACAGATATAACGGACAGTTAAATTATATGAAGCAGCTGAGTAATTTTCCACCGAAATATCTTATGAAACAAAGTTTACATGTGAATTTTATTGGTTATAGATTTTTTATGAATAAATAACGAAAGCTCTATGCAAAGAAAATCAATATCTGATTTAGCTTGATTCAAAATGGACTATCGCTTTCAATTTTTTAAATACTCAATTATAATATATCGAAGTTTATATTTCAAATAAATAATTGTATTGAAAAAGAATTTTAGAATTATAAAATTAATGGAAAAATTCATGAAAAATGAAACACATTTTTAAGACGATTGTTAATGAAAGAGTAATACATTTAATAAAATTAAAAAATTTCAAATATTAAACAATTAAAAAAACAAGTTACCCGAACGTAGTTCAGAGCAAATATTTTCAATAACGCTCTGCATTCACAAATTTTTATAGAAAAAAAGATTTATAATTCAACGTGAAATGAAAAAACACATGCACCAAGTTATAACTACAATTTTACAGTTAAAACATTCAAGATAAAAACTATAATAATAATATGAAAATTCAAATAAATGAAAAAACATTAATAAACTACTGTAACATTGGAAATTAAAAAATTAAAGAACTAACACAACGAACATTCGCATAGCTTCGCATTTTCTAAATATAAACAAAACAATACATACGTAAAAAGAGAAAACAAAGCTCACCAGACGGTAAGGTCTTCGATAAAACAGTCCTTCGGAAGAAGCTTGTTGAACACTCAATCTACAGCGGAGGCCTTTTTTATTAAAATAATAAGAAAATAGAAGAAAGATAGAGAGAAAAAGATGGCAAAAGATGCGTAAGAGTAGCCGAGTGAGCAACGATTTCTGAGGCGCCTCTCTTGTCCCGACCACTTTATATACGTAGATCTCGCTCGGCAGATTAAAAGACCCCTTCCCACTGGTACAAGTGTCCAAGCAAGCAGCAGCAGCGCGTGCCCCGACAGCCAACACAGTCCCTATCAAAGAGTGGGGTCCCCTTCGAAAGAAGGAGAGAATAGTAGTAGTACGCACCTTCGTAGAGTTTAGCTTGCTAGGGGCGATGTATGTATATAGCAAGTACACTCTGTACAGCACAGAAAACTGGATCGGTTCCGCCGGTGATTGCTATACCCATTTTTCTTTCGATCGACGACCAATTGACCATTTGCTCGCTCGCGTGTGCTCGATGTTTGTTTGTGCGGGAGATTCCATTCGTTGTGATTTTTTTCTTTTATTTTTTTATCACGGATAAAACTGTTAAATTTTCGACCAAATAATGCATTTTCGTTTTACACTACGTAACTTTATCCTCTTTGTCGCAGTACGGGTCGACTATTAAATGAAATTTATTAATGTAATTCAAGTAATGAGACCTTATTTTTCCCTCCAATGCGAAGCTGTAACACAATTTTATACATAGTCATAAAAAATAAGCACTTTATCCAACTTATATTAGCCGTGAAATAGTGTTGACACATGGCTATTATTTCTTATCATTTCCGCTAAGTTCTTTCGCTTGAGAAAATCATTGCTATTAGAAAGTAGGATTGTAAAGACTTTATGTAATGCCGCGTTATGTGTACACTCAAGTTCAAGTTCAAGTAGAATTCTACAACCGTGACCGGGATATTCATTCATTGTCGTCGGTACATAAACATTAAAATACCTACTTCGTAATTAAAAATCCAATCAATGGCGAAAAGTAGAAAAAACAAAATTCGCTTTATACCGCTATGTACTCAATCGCCAGTATGTATGACCAGCGTTATGCGGAAATTACCTAAATATCATCATTACGAAAATTGATTTTTTTCTCAGCGGTGTAATCGAAATCAACAGATCATAAAGTCTAAGTCTAGGTCAGGATGTATATTAATGTACCCGCGGAAAATTCACGCAGTGAAGACTTTCACCCGAAAGAGAGCGATTAGCCTACTGCAACATCGAAATATTATAAACGAAGCCGCGAAGCATTTTGGCTGTGTCGTGATTAATGCAACTACAATTTCATGGAGGCGTCATTACTTTCAGGGTCAATGCTTAAAACATGACGAGCTTACAATTTTTCATTGAATCACGATTAGACTATACTTGCATTCGATTTGCTATTATAGCTTCAGGCTGTTCCTATATGTGGTTGTTTTCCGACTTAATTACGATTACGACTCTATTCAAACTTTGCTATATCGTGTAACTGCAATTGAGTTTAACGTCTTGACGATCAGAGATGAATGTCGACAAATTATGGTGCTATTTATATCTTTACTTTCGCAATCAAATGTCAAGTAAACCGGTACCATATGAATCTTTGTTGCAAGTAGGAGTAAAAATCTAAGTATGCTACTTCATTTCTGTACGGATATAAAATTTGTAAGCTCTTATTATACAGAGGAAGAGAGAGAGAGAGAGAGAGAGAGAGAGAGAGAGAGAGAGAGAGAGAGAGAGAGAAAGTGTCTGGCACGTAATAAAATCTCTATCTTAATAACAAAGGATAGCACATAAATGCAGGCGGCAAAATAATAGAACCGTTTCAGCTGCGTTGTCGCAAAAACAATTATAACTATCATAATTCAGAGCTTTATGCATCTCACTTTTGACGTTTATGCTCAGCATACCAACATTCTATTAAATATTGGCGGCGAATGTTAACGATCGCTTGTGCGAGACGCTATTTTTTTATGTTAGATGTTCGCAAATATTTATGATTTAACAAGGATGTGAATCGCATTTGCACGAGAAATTAGGCAGCTTTGATTGCATACAATGTAAGTAGTGTGAGAATGTCTAGATATAATTACGCTAATTTGTTGCCCTCAAGTTTTTATAAAAGAATAGTTTTTTCACAAATAATTCAGGCATGTCAATTGAATTGTTCTCATCATAAATTTGTTGTCTCGTTAGAAAGAAAATTTTCCACACACTAGTTTTGCCACAGTGACAGCGAAAGCCCCATGCGATCACTTGAAACGATCATAAGCGAAGATAGACCTTATGTGTGCCGTGATCAATGCGTATGTGATACGAAATATCTCTTTATTTCAAAGAAAGTATGAAACGATTCGAGACTCAAAAGATGCTTCTTTTCTGAGAATTTAAATGTTCGTATGATTTCTCTTAGTGAAGTATCACACTACGGATTAGAATAGTTTTCCATGTAGCGCTCGTTTGCTCTCTTTCTCCACATATTATATGCGTATAAAGTTAATTTTGTAGACCTAGTTACATCAAAATTTTCGCAAGTGATAAATGCAAATGAAACACCAAAGAAACTCATATACGTACAGAGAGAGAGAGAGAGAGAGAGAGAGAAGTCTTTCACCTGCATATACGGAATTAACCTTGTTTATGATATGGATTTCATTCACGCATCTGCGAAGGTTTCACACTGTACTCAAGTTAAATTACGGAAGTGGATGATGTTGCTATTAAGAATTAAGTCGATTTGCTATCGACTAATATGACAAAGCAATTTTTGAATACAAATAAGCAAGGTTAAAAATCTAATGATCAAAAACTATATTTACCCTAACAGGTCTCTTATAAATTTCAAATATCTTAAACATTTCTTCAACTTGTATCCATAGCAGGTTAACGTAACAAGAAGAACAAAATTCACACGAAAGAGATCCCACGTATGCAATCTGAGAGTCACACGGATATGCATATCGCAGACAGGCGGATCCGCGTGTGGCGCATAGAAGCAAAGCCAAAGCTACTACTACTCCCCGCGAGAACTGTGTCACAAATCTGGAGCACGCGCCTTCTATGACGCGGGCGGATATTTATTTTTTCCAAGCTTTTCGTATATAATGGCAATTTTTCTTTTTATTTCGTGTGCTTTCACTCTCGTACGATATACATTTGTCGGATGTGTTTGTATGTGACTGTGAACTTGTGACACACTTGACGAATGAGTGCGTATTCTTATTGACGGCTACTGCGTGTGTGTGTATGTGTATGTGTACAACCAAATGATAACTTCGTTCATTGATCACGTTGACAGTTGTGTTTACGTCTCGGTGTTTATAGTTTGAAAAATGCATCATGCATTTACGAGAAAAATACACTTTACAGACCAATCATCCGCATATTTCTCGTCCCCCATATGAAAATAGCTACTTCACAGGAATGAAAATTGACAGCCGCGATGAAAAAAAACTCGCTTAGGAAAATTTCTTATGACGCCCGAGTGAAGATATAGGCGTGTCCACACACGGCAACTGCATCTTTCTCTAACGCGCTCGAGTATATAATCTAGTCCATTGCTGCTGCTGCTGCTGCTGCTGCTGCTGCTGCTGCTGCTGCTGCTGCTGCAGCTGTTGCGCCACGGATCGTCAAGTTATTACGGCTTTATGGAATCATCAATGACTTGTGCACCTGTCTAATACATATCGAAAAGTTCATGTGTTTAGATGCTGTTTGGTTTTTCTTCTTTTTCCATAATTTATTAGGTCTAATTAAGAATACGGCAATCAGTGCATTTAAAGTGGACGCGTTTCCACGCATCTGATCTATATAGTTTATACATGATAATTATGCGTACGCTACTCATACCCATCGATGCTTGTAAACTTTTAATTTTGCTCGTTAAGTAGTTTAGCAAGGAACAAACAGTACTTGTTTCTTATTGTTATGCACGATGAAAAACGAAACATCAATCATCGTAATAAATGAAATTAACATTCAAATAAAGCGCTGCTTCAAGAGTAAAAGTGGCGGATCAACGGTGAACAAAATAGACAAACGAATTCTCATCTCGACCTATATTTGAATATTCGCAACGAGAAAAGCACTCTCATACTTTTCGCTACGTCAACCGAAATGATAGAGTGACCTTGATGAACTCTTCGCAAGATACTTACATGAACAACGACCTCTTACACGTTACTTAGCTTACCGCAGTCAATAACCTATTTGCCATGCTTATCAGTCAATAATTGTTCAATTCATTTGCGTGCGTAAGTGACTGAATGGATATGGATTATCCGAATACATTATCCGTTAGAATGAGACAATTACAAGTCAATCTATCTACTGAAAAAATTTTCGAGAACACGTAGCCGATCGGACAAGCTAAAATATTGTATCGTATAAACGTCGTGCGTCCGCCTTCCTTTCTTTCTTCGCACGCTTGTATATATGTCTGCTATAGGATTCGAGGGCGACTTTCCAAGGAACACGCAGCACAATAATTCATCCTCTACTATCTGCACCGACGCCGCCACCGCTGCCGCTGCGGTAGACTGCTTTATTTTCTTTTCACTTTTTGCTGCTCGCGTTCCTGCGGCACGCTTTGTAAAGAGACATTTTTCTCCAGCAAAAATGCACCACCTGCTATTATAAGTGTGACTACGAAGTTTTACTTCCAGATAACTTCTACTTTTTCTTATAGTAGGCTGTATGATTACTTACAGGAATATAATACTTCACTTATTATTCGGTTTTGCTTTATACTAATTACTTTTAAGGACGTTTTATTTTCATTTTTCAATAGAAAATTAGTTATGGTTTGAAGGCACTCGTGAAATAATAAATCCGATAGCATCAACATTTGTAATTTTGAATAACGATTCGTGTAACATGAAAGAGCTCAAAATATTTGTTAACACTCTATAATATAAAAAGTATTAGCTTGCTAATTGCTCTTGATTAGCACTTTCACCGATCCTTTATGTTGCAATCAAGACACAAATAAAAATTTTTTTTTAGGAAGAGGATAAAGGTGAAAAGATTCTTATAAAAAAAGTGGATCAATAAAGAAGCATTGTCAGTAATGATGCAACGTTTATTTTGATTGTTCTTAGCTATTGAAAAATAA